CATTCTATTTATTGGATTTTAATTTGTGGTGTCAGTTAGAATGTTTGATAATTTTCTTTATCATTATCTCTGATAGTGCAAAGGATGCAGACCTGTTTTAGTTTCTGCTTTCCAAGTTCACATGATTAATAGTCCTGATGCTAGTAGATTACCGCCTTGTTGATGCATATAGAAATAGCATATGGAATAATTTTTTTCCCCCCTAATATGGTAAAAAGGGGGGAATTACTAATATACTTATCTTTTATGATCCAGATATATCAACTTGTGCTGTTAAAAAGTTGTCTATTTTTCAAACTTTGACTGCATGTAAGGTACATTATAGATGTCTGTGTTATGATCGTGAGTTATACACTTGCTATTTGCTGCTGTTGGCAATTAGTGTGCTTGCTTTAATGTCCTTGAAACTTCTTGCATCAATTCAATAAGACAAGACTTAAGTCTTTGTCTACTTTTGGATCTAGGTCCTTGGAGCTTGAGAAGGGGGAATTTTTACTTGGAAGTGTCATCAATGCAGTTGTTAGCCAAGTGATGATATTGCTGAGAGAAAGAAATTTACAGTTGATCCGTGATATTCCTGAAGAAATCAAGACCTTTGCTGTATATGGTGATCAATCAAGGATTCAACAGGTCTTGGCTGATTTCTTATTGAATATGGTGCGCTATGCACCATCTCCAGATGGTTGGGTAGAGATTCATGTTTTTCCGAGAATAAGACAAATTTCTGACGGACTTACTCTTCTTCATACTGAATTCAGGTATATTAGCATGTACTTTTTGTTATTTCATTAATAATTATTTCTTTCTTTGAGCATGCATTACTGATGATGATGACTACCATTTTATCACCCTGACTTGATATCTGTTTTAGAATGAAAACATGATGAGAAATCATTAATATTTTTTAGATCCTTTCATGAAATGATTTCATCATACAGCACTGCAAAACTATTGCAAAGAATTGCTAGTTCAAATTAATCTTGTTTATCTTGCCTTAAAAGTTTTGAAAACTCTTATGTTAAGGAACATTTTCTTAATTGTTTGATTGACCATGCAAGTTGGACCAATTTTTTGGGTTGCATCTCTTCTATGGGTAGGCCGATGTTTTCCCATTCTTGATGATTACACAACATCATGCTTCATGATATATAACTTGAACTGTGACCTTCAAAATGGCAGAAATCTGGTTGGGGTTGGATTTAAGATGCCTTCTTCAACCTTGTTTGTTCGCTTTTGACTTAAACACAACCTTTCTTAATTGCTATCCTAATAGTATCTGATTTGCCTGCCTGAACTCCCCCTGGAAAGAGAGTGAGAGATGCCAAAATTTCTTTTGTGGCAAATGCATAATATGATGTTTGTTGGGGGAAAGGCCTAGTGGCCTGCCCCATTATTGTAATTTCTTTGTACATTATGCTGGTATACCTTGAAAATGAGTTTAGTTATTGCTTTCTTTTTATTATCTCTTGATCACGGCATTTCATGAAAAAATATTCCATTAAGAAAAGTTAAACGAAGATCGCAACTTCTGATCATTCGCCAAATGCATGGTAATTTTTTTTTTTTTCAATTCTTCTACGAGGAAACCTGATAATTTGTGCCAAAATTGTTTCTCTCACATACTTAGTTTATTCACTTGGCTTCTAATATCTACTTAATTTATTTCAATTTTTGTGTGTCTTCTTCTTTTTGGTTTTGTGAAGGATGGTATGTCCCGGTGAAGGTCTTCCTGCTGAATTGATTCAAGACATGTTCAATAGCAACCTGTGGGTAACTCAAGAAGGCTTAGGGCTGAGCATGTGCAGGAGGATTCTAAAGCTAATGAGCGGTGAAGTCCAATATATTAGGGAGTCAGAACGATGCTACTTCTTAGTAATTATTGAGCTGCCCATGACACGGAAAGATTCTAAAAATGTGAACTAGGTACTTTGCAATCTCTCATGTTGACTTTTAGATATGTCCTTGGTCATACTCTCAAGAGTATGAAGCTCACCTATCGAGGGACTTAGGGGCTTGCATTTGAGCAAAAGCTGATTTGGCTTGTTATCCGGGTCTGATGCTGTAATTCTACTGCCAATAGGATTTTATTCAGGCCTCCGCCCTGACCAGACATGTTTGGTGCAGCAACCCGGCTAGCGACTAGTAAATTTATAGCCTATGTGACCTTAAGAATCTCATAGAGTTATGGCGGAGTGTAAAAAAAGTTGTGCTGCCATTTTGTGTACATCTTCATGATCAAGTGGGTTTCCTGTGAAACTGTTGCTCATGAGTCCATAATTAGCAGTTGCTGTGGATTCCATGGTCAGGGCTCAGGATTGAACTTCATCCTTATCCTGCCATTGTTTAGTCATGTAACTACTTATAGTTATACTATGTTTTTTCTTGAATTCGCGAATAATTGTAAAATCTTTGCCTGCTGAAAGTTTTTCTCTGGAGATTTTGCTTTTCTACCTGTTATCTAATTTTCCCCCTTCCTCCCACGGTTTTGTACGTCTCTTTGTTCTAAGTAACAAAAGCTGGACTTTCGAGTATTTTAGGAAAGTTCTGTGGATCAGTCACAGATGAATAGTTGAATATGTATGCCTTCTTCTCTTTGCAGATCTATTATTCTCTAACACAAACGGATGAACTCATGACAGCTGCCAGATTTCAGAAAACGTTGGGAAGTGAATGTGCTTTTAGCTTATGTTTGGATTGAGGCGATTGGAAGTGAAGGTTGGATTTGATTTAGACATTTCCCTTGATTTGGATATAAAGCAAATCTTGTCCTTCTTCTTCTTCTGTTTTTTTTTTTTTTTGGGGTTTCCTTTCCCCCTCTCCATTCTTCAGTCCAAACATATCCTCAAGACAAATCCAAGGCATGTGTGCATTATTAGATGATGTTAATAGTATTTCTAGCCTTCCCCTACTGGTTTTATTGTTATTGCAGCAAGTCTAGTTGTTCATGAATAGTGGTCTTAAATTCATCTCTAATGGGCTTCACTGGACTGTAAGAAGTGTAGAACATAATTTCTAAGCAGATAACCACCAAAAGTTAGTCCAATGAGTAAGGATTTGACCCTTGATTTATAAGGTCATGAGATCAAATCCCACAATTGATATGAAGACCTTGTTAATGAATAATTTATAAGTGCTTCTATGAGTGTTCTTTGAGTTTGGAAGCATGTCCCAGCCTTGATAAGCTTCTAAATTCAAGTCACTTAAATTTTTTTTTACCAAAAAAAAATTGCAAGTGGACTTCACACACATTTGTCTAGTCAATAACTATACAAGAACTAATATTTATGTTTATAATAAGGGTAAAATCTAGTTGCAACTTGCATCATGGTGTGAGAGGGTAGGGTGTTATTGAATATGTTAGAATTTGAATATACAGCTTCATTCTAATAAAGAAGTCTAAGAAAACAGATATTGCTAGAGAAATCTTGAGGAGAAACCAAAAAAACAAGTAATCTGTTTCAAGTTCACCAACTCTGGTCCCCTCAAAATCCTGATCTTTGATTTAAATAACTCAATCCTACATTGAAAATCCACCAAACAAGCAAGAAATTTTCACAACATACCAATCAGTTAGGTTGCAACCGTTTAAAAAAGAACCGAAACTGGTAGCCACGTCAACTGGTCAAAATGTTACCTTAAGCCAACAACTTGAAACCCAAAAGAAAACATAATTTATTGATAAAGTTTTGATGACAGACAGACTATAATTCATTTTTCAATGTCAAGCTGCCACTTTTAAGTGTCTAAAAGCCATTCTGGTTTTACGTTATCTTCTGGTACAAAGAGCACTGAATGATACAGGCGATAACGAAGAGATGAGGCTGAATATTCGTTGTACAATTGCATTCCCCATTTGGGAGTGCAGTGAACTATGCTCCCTTCTTTCCCATCATAACTTTGAAAGCATTGAAGCTTTTACTTTCTTTGCCTTTACAATAATATATGATATATTATTGTTATTATTATTGTTTGTTGTTTGTTTGGATTAAAAAAGTGAGAGAAAAGATTCCATTTCATCTTCACTTTCAAGTCTCCACAAGTTGTGTGCGTGCACGCCCTTCTTCATGCTTTGTACGAAACAACCTTCTACTTATTGACTCAACGCATTACCCTTTTCATACACTTAAGTTTGTTCAATTAATTGAGGATTATTTCTTGTATACTAAACAAACGTAATCCTTCCTTTATCTTCATTTTTCAATTTGATAATCTGACTTTACTTTGAAATTATGTTGTAGATTAAATAGTTTTTATTTTTTATATTTGAATGTATTAATTTGATCTAGAATTAGATGTTTGGAAGAATGACAAATAAATTTCTCTGAAATAGAAAAATGACAATTTAGTTTCATGAAATATGATAATACCATCTAAGTTTTAAGAAACTTAATTATCATTAAAGTTTTTATGAAATGAAAAAAATATTTCTTAATTTAAAAAATGCAACCAACTTTTTTTATTCACAACTTTAGTTTTAAAATTCATAATTTTAGTGCAGCAAATAACAAAAGTGGTTTAGGTATTCATAATTTTCTCTCTCTATTTTTCCTCAATTTGCAAAGTGCAATAAAGTATTTTCATTCACAACTTTGATTCTAGAATTCATAAGTTTGATTTAATAAATGACTAAAGTAGTTTTGGCATTGATAACTTTTTTCACAATTTTTCTTCACTTTTTTAAATCAAGAGATATTTTTATCATTTCATAAAAAAATTTAATGACAATTAAATTCCTTGAGACTCAAAAAGCATTATCATATTTTGGAAAATTAAATTGCCATCTCCCTATTTTGGATAAATGTATTTGTGCATTCTCCCTAGATGTTTTCTGAATTGTTAGTGAATGGCAATTATTTATTACGACCATTGTTTTTAAAAGTTGGCTAGACGTTGAACCAAAAAGTCTAACAGGTTTCAATTTTTATTATCCAGTCCGTCAGATCAATGTTGAACAAATGTTATAATAGTTAAATAAAAATTGATATTAAATAAGTATATAAAATAAATCCATAATATGTTCAATTGTCTATAACATAACCATAAGATAATGATATTAGAAGTTATAATTTCATAACTTTTAAATATAAAACGATCTTAATTAAAGTATGAGTGAGTAAACTCAAAACATATGTATTTGGAATTTTGTACTATAGCTAATAACATTTTTCTAGATAAATCCTAAATCATATTATATACAAATAAAAAGCCCAAAAAATGAAATTAGCTTTTTAAAGAATCCAGTTTTTTTCTAGGTCAAATTTTTTTTAGCCTTTTTCTATATCAGGCCAAGATTTAAAATTAAATCAGGCATCAAATTCCTCACAACATTTGTTTAAACATTAATGATTAAATTTGTAATTGCATCGCTATCAGCCCGTTCAACAAGTTGGTTGAGTTGGATTTCAGTATTACACTCATAATTATAAATTACTTTTAAAATGCTTGTAGACATAAATTAGTTAGAAATAAATTGTCACGTAAGAAACGGAAACATGGAATCTAAACTGGCGTCACTGTGAACGTAAGACCAGTTGACAATTGTAGCTGATGTCATCAATACTTCTTGGTCAATCACAATGACCGTGATTAAGCATTTATTTGTATGCATGAAATTTTGTCAAGTTTTATTCCTAACGTGCGCAATTGTGAAAAAATATATTTGACATACTTTTCAAATAAAACTGTTGTCGATTATCTCTATTGATGTAAAAATTTTATTAATAAATAATACATAAATATTTTAAAAAATTAATTTTTCAATCCTTTAACTTTTAACTCACTTATAACCTAGTCCTTCAACTATGACTCGCTACGACTCAATCCCTCAACTATAATTCGCTGCGACTCAATCTCTCAACTTTTGATTCATTTATAACTCGGTCCTTATTTTTTAATTTTTAAAAAAATTTCTTATTAAATAAGAGGGATAAAAAATTTCATATATTATTTTAAAATACCCTCCTCTTGCTCATTGATGTGTGATATAAGCTAACATGAAAAAAATTAACAAAAGTTAAGGGACTAATTTATAAGTGATTCAAAAGTTGAGGGATTGAGTTACAAATGACTTAAAAGTTGGAGAACTAAAAAATTAATTTTTTTAAATATTTTAACAAATATTTTTCAAATTGTTGTCAATTATCTTATAATTTAATTCACCTAATTTTTTTACAAACAAAAAAAAAAGAAAAACTATTCTTGAGTATATTGTATACATGTATCATGTATGCATGATAATAGAAAATATCTAAAGTATGAATCCATGTATATACATTAAAAAAATATTAGTTGAATTAAAAAGATGAAATACAAGCAACCCATTACATTAGAATATTTGAGAATGGCTGAATAAAGAGAAAAGATAATAAAAAAATAGTTTTAATGGTTTGAATAAGTCATTTATATTTTTCAATAAAAATAATATAAAATATAATTACAGTGAATTAATGATAATGAAAACATAATAAATATAGTATATTTTATAATAAATAATATATAATAGAGGGGAAAAGGTATTTGAGCAGAACAAAGGATGTGATAAAGAGCCAACGAAAAAATGGTTAAAAAAAAAAAAGGAGTATCAATTGAAAACGTTAGGTAAAGAGAAAAGAGAAAAGAAAAAAGAAAAAAAGGGGGACAGAAGGAAAGAGGGAAAACACAGATCTGGTGCTTTTCATGGCATAATTCTGATTCTGCTCTTAATTACTCTTCAAGCTGATATTTGATGTGACACATTCTGCACCTACCCTAGTGGTATTATTCACCTATTTTCAATTTTTTTCCTTTTGCATTCACTTCACTTAAATTAAAATGACGGCTGGGTATCCTCTCCTCGTATAATCTTGTTTTATTTATTTTATTTATTTAAAACATATTTATTAAAATATGATAAAAATATATCTCAAGGTATACAAATTTCAACAAACTATAATAAAAAATATAATTTGTTTTCAAACTCTATCATGTACAGAAAGAACACCTCATCTTTGGAATATACAGACCTACAATTTTATTGTTATATATACATTTCTTAAAAATTAATTTGAAAAATGTAAATTTTAATAAGTTCAATTATTATGCAATTTAAAAAATTTTAACATAAGATTCTGTCTCTATTTAATAATTATTTACATTTTATAAAAAAAATTACTTCTCCTATTAAAAAATATAAGACATTTTTTGAAAGTTTGAATGTTTAAAAATATAAAACATTTTTTATTTTTTAAGGTATAATTATTGTCTTTTTTAAGTGTTCTTATTGAATAAATCACTTTATATTTATTTAAGAGCAAGACATCTTATCAAATAAGGATAAATATAAAAAGATAGGATTAATTTGAAAAAAGTAACTATTTCGTTGAGGATAAAGTTTGATTAAAAATATTTATATTTTTTAATTAAATGAATATGATAGATTGAAAACATCAAACATATACTTCATCCTATCACCACTTTTATTCCCTACTTTTAATTTTAATTTTTTAAAAAATATAATTTTAAGTTCCTGCACATTACTCATGTTTTACTATAGTCCTTTACATTTTTTTAGTATTTTAAATCTCTACACTTTTATTTATTAATATTCTAAATTTCTTCGATATCCTTATACTTTATTCATGAAAGGACCAAGAATATCAAAAAATAAAAATGTACAGACCTATAATATAAAAAAAAATACAGAGACCTATATAAAATGTGAGCGAAGTGTAAGGATTTATAATTATGTTTTTTCTTAATTTTTTTTAAACACTTGTTATCAACAAGAAACATGTGGTAGTTTTTAAGCAAAAATGATAATAAAATCCTTCTAAATTATATAAATAATAATTTGATTTTTTAAAATATCATAATTTTATTAAAATTCTTGAAAAATTTTCTATCATTCATGAATTAACATAAATGATAAAA